TTGCATCTAGTTTGGAGATTACCACCACGAGAGGTACCAGCCACCTTACAATCCGTTCTTGATCTGTGTCCCTAGTCTCTTTTGGAATACTGTCCAAGTTCTCCCAGTCAGAAAGTTAAAGATTTCACAGGCTGGGCCTCTGCCAGGCATTCTCACCAAACCCTCCCTATACGTTTAGGTGTGGCAGAACATCAGACTAGCATTCTCCCACACTACCTGATGGGTCTGTCTAGCACAAACCCCTATTGCTGGAACGCCAAGACAATTCTACTACGACAGCAAAAGCAAGACGCAAGTCACCAGAGCTCTTTGTGTTACTCGTGCACGAGGGAGAGAACTGTGACGAGCGCCGTTCCTTCCGCTCGAACCCCAGTCGCTCTCGTCTGCTCCCTCGTAGCACTGCTCTTTATTGAGGTTACATGAATATGCATAAGTTCATTAACATATGACGTCTTATATAGGCATACATGTGAACAAAGAGTACCTTGTCTGTGTGTACATATAGGCATGCGTGTGTGTGTGTGGGGTCAAGATGTGACTCTGTGAAGACTCCCTACACCTGCTGGCGCCAGGGAGTCCAGTAGTTCACTTAAACATAAGGCTGTTACACTCAAACAGATATAGAAGATATAGGTGTGTTTGCTATACCATATATCAGCAAGAGAAGATATAACCTCTCTCATGACCCTAGGAGGTGGGTGATCTATGCCAGAATACTCTGAAGAGGAGTGAATATACTCCCCTCTTCACGCTACACAGGGTTGTTACAGACCTAGGATGAGACATTCTTTCAATATGCAATCGATTATAAAACTCTAAGCATATATGAGTATATATTTCTAAGCATAAACAATCAACAAGACAATCAACAATATAAACCTAACACTACCTGAACCAACTCCCCACCAGGTTGTCATCGGCTCCTCTTCACCTGATTGTCGGGAACATATAGTTGCAGATCTGATGATACAATTACAGAATCAATCATCAATCTGTGACCTAGGGCGTCCTGGTGCCTCGTGCACTTATAGACATCCTTATATTCGAACATGGTTTTCCATATAGACAAACTGTGATTTGCACAGAACTTGACTCGGTTCAGATCAGGCAGGCTGTTCCTCCTAATCGTGCCCCTATAGGTCTTTCATCCACTGGCAAGCTGAGGGGACACGAATACCCACCCCTGCCTCCAACCTCATCAAGGGCAAGTCTAAAGGAGGAGACTGGTTCCAGAGCCCAAGTCATGTGTTGAGGTGAAGACGACTATATCTAGCCGGTATCTCTCAGCCTCAGACACCAGCTCAGGCTCCTTCCCCGCCAGAGAGGTTACGTTTCATGTCCCCCTGGTCAGTATTAATAGAATTGCCAGGTCTCCACCCTTGGCTGCTGCAAAACACACATTGCACCCAATTCCTACAGCACCTCCTGAAGGTGGTGGGCCTACAGGACGGTGGTCCATGTCTTTTCTTCAGGCTGCATCCACCTGGGTCCCATGGGCTAAGGCACAATCACCAGTTTGCCTTGGAGACCCTATCAGGGGGCAAGCACAAACCGCCCCCCAACAACACACCCCCTGGGATCACTGGAACACACAAACCCCTCCAACACAGTGAGCTGGCAATTTGACAATGGGCCTGAGCACCATTTAAAGCTTAATTAAACTCTAATTTGAACCTAGGCTGTAGTCTAATATCTTAAATTATTTTGTTAAGTTATTAAGTTTCTGATTTATGTGGGATTTTGCTAATGGTAATAAAGTGCATGTCTAAATAATCTGTCGATGTGACTAGTTTCATTTATCAGACTGCCTTGCACAGCAGTATGACTTTCTTTCTTTCCTTACATACCTACATACAAATGCAACTGAGCAAAGTGTGACATTTCACAGCACCACCCTTCCTTCCTTGTTTTAGCTTGCTAGTGTTAAAAACTACACACACTTGTACACATACCTTATGTAATATAAGCTTTCTGTCCAAATAGGGCCCTATTTGAATCAAGTGTTGTGTACAAGCACAGGGGGACTAAATAGCAGATATTGTGTACCAACTGCAGTAAGTGATCAAAGAGTGCTTAAATCTTTTAAGTGACAGCAAGATGATGTTTCCAAAATGTTTAGAACATGTTGTCTGTTTCTTGTTCTACCTTATCATGTCATGTGAAACAAACCTCCCCCTGCTTTCTGGTTGTGTGCACTGTGAACTGCGACAGCATTTTTGGCTGGAGAAGCAAAGTTCCCTTATCCACTCGAAGTCTTTTTAGACTGCCCCGACTTTACCGGCCACACTTCCTCTTACCGAATCAAGCTGTCGCTTTTCAATCAAACCGACATGGTGACACATGCGGTCAGGAAACACAATTTCATGTCATAACAGTGTACAACTGTCTAGACATTAGAGATTTGCTCCAAGAAGTGTTTTCTTCTTCTCCTTCCATCAAAACAGCTCCAGTTCAAAGAAAACTCAAAATGTGACTGACAGAGGTGCTGATTGCACAGAGAAAGGGCAACCGCGGCCAAATAATATAGCAATATTGCAGTCCAGGAGCATTTTTTTTTTCATTTCAGCAGTCCTGCTCTCCTCTGAAAAATATGTGCATAGATTTGTCGTCTTGAGTGACTTGAAACCCGTGTCTCTATGTCGAGTAAACACCCACAGAGCTCTGGTGGCAAGTCATTATACAGTTCTGCTTCTCAGACAAACAGCTATTACTGTTGTTTCAAACAGGCTCCTCTTCATACAGGAATGTGTGGGGACAGTGTGAAGATGCAGTTAAGAATCTGTTGCACAAGCAAGGGAGGTGCAAAAAAAAGGGTTTAAAATAGTTCTAGGTGTTAGCTGCAGAGGGATCAGAGCTGCGAGCTTATTCGTGATGATGCTTCAGTCGGTTTGGGTGAAGAAAAGCCTGTGATAGGTGCATATGGCAGATTCAGAGAACATTGCCCCTGGGTGGTTAGCAGATATGCAGATCTGAGACATCTCACAGACAATCACAAAGGCTGGTGATCTTTATAACTAATGGGGAAGTCAGCTTATGTCTTAATGCAGCCAGTGTCTATCAGTATTCATTATCAAACTTTGGCAGCAGATGATTTTAAGATGCGTCTCACTGGCTTTGGGGACATAACACACAGAAAGTTGTAGGCACATTAGACGCTGACATTCACATCAATCCAAAATTCATTCTGCAGAACTATAATGAGTGAAATCTGTGCCTGAATTTCTCAGTTCCATATACGGAAAGAAAAGCACAATTATGATATACAGTACCGTACAAAACTCTTCAACCACCCCTCATTTATTTATAATGGGAAATAGGTGCAGTGCAGTGATTCATTGAAACGTTTGCAACATAGCATATAGGACAAAAACAGAGTTTATACAATTCTAACAAGCTTGAAAGTCAGTACTTGCTATGATCACTATTATTCTTCAACACAGCCTGAACTCTCTTAGCTACGCTTTCTTGTCATGTCTTTAAGTACTCTTCAGAAATAATTCTTCAGGCTTCTTGAAGGACATTCAAAGCTCTTCTTTGGATGTTTCTGCTTTTTGTTACGTTCACTGTTGAGATGATCCAACACTCCTTCAATAATAATATGGTTCAGACTCTTGGAAAGACTAATCCATGACACTATCCATGTATGTTTTTACTGCATTAGAAGCGTTTAGAGCAGGGGTCCCCAACTCCAGGCCTCGAGGGCCGGTGTCTTGCAGTTTTTAGATGTGTCCGTGATCCAACACAGCTGATTCAAATGGCTAAATTACCTCCTCAACATGTCTTGCAGAGGCCTGGTAATGAACTAATCATGTGATTCAGGTGTGTAGACCCAGGGTGAGATCTAAAACCTGCAGGACACTGGCCCTCGAGGCCTGGAGTTGGGGACCCCTGGTTTAGAGTCTCTGTGACTGAGTGTCCACCGTGTTTTACAGATGACTATAGACACTTTCTTCATAAGGAGGTGACTTTCATATACTGTTTGTCTGCTGTCAACAGTTTTCTGTGTGTTTTACACCTGGCACTTCTTCTCCTGTCCTCCATTTGTCAAGCTACCCCTCAAAGTTTTTAAGCACATGGTGAGATATGCCAGCTTTTTTTGCCTAGTTGTTATTTGTGTATTGCTTTGTTGGTGTAAAAATACTCTTTTATATCTGTCAAACTGTGTTATCACTGATATATATTTTTATAGATTCAACTAAAGAAATGGGAACAAATTGTGTTTTGTGACAGACTGCTCTCCATTAGGTACAATTTTTTTTTTTTTAAACTACACCTTTGTTGAATTTCTTGTTATGTGTGGACAAAACACTGGTTCATCCCTTAAGTTAATCACCTTTTTTCATGCTTGAATGCTTCTTAAGTCAGGGTTAAGTGAACAAAAAAGGGGAAAAACATTCTTTGGAAAAAGGTCAGGAACAAGGCCTGAATTCACAAGACTGAAAAACAGCCAGTGTCCAAAGGAAAAACTCTGAAATAGTTTCAGAAAGCCTGGAGAACCACTGATCAAGACCACTTTAAAGAATTAGCAGAAACTCAGGCTCCCTGGAAGCCAAACACAAAAGGGACGACCGGCTCAAGACTTTCGCACAGTACTGGATTTCATTCTATACTTTATTATTATACAGCAAGCACTGTCTGGTTTTTTGTTTTGTTTTGTTTTTTTAAATGCGCTTTAAAAAAAATAAAATGACACGTGAATATAAAATTACTGCGATATTACGGCAATTCCTCATCTGGGAGACATGAAAGCTGACGTCGTTACGAGAAACTTCCGCGTGCCCCTTTTCCAAGAAACAAAAACGGATCATCTGATGTCACTAATACATGTCTCCAGGCTTCAGGTGGGTACGGCCAGCGTCGGTCTGGCTGAACCAAACCATATATCAAAAAGCTGAATTTCCCCATTGGCCCCCGTGCGTGTGCGAGAGCGCGTGAGTGCGCGCGCCTGCGTGCGCGCGTGCCAACCACGGAGAACTTATTATGTAAGATGTTCCCAGTCGCATCTTTGCCTGCAAGTGTGAGGCATGAGGTCGCTTTAAGAGACATCTCAGCTCCTACCAGTGGTCCTGACAGGACACCACCTACCTCCTCCTCGACCACAAACTCTCAGCTTTGTCTCACTTGATGCACAGCGGCGCGAAGAAGTCCTGGAAGAAATAAGACTCGGTAAGAAACGGTGGCTAATTAGTGTGCCATTTCCTCTTGCCTCTAACTCTTGCAGGTGGCGATGGGAGTGAGTAATTAAAATTCCCAGGAAGGTATTTATTTTTCATCATATGCTAAAAGAAAGCTCTAATGACCTTTTTCTAGGTGGTGGCTCTCTGTAGGCTTGTGCGTTCTTGCGCGTAGAGTTTTTAATAACCTGATCGCTCGCGCTGGGATTGTCGATTCCCGTCGCTTGTCGGTCTCCCCAGTCCAGTGGGATTTCCTTCCTTCCCTCGAAATATTAAACCCCCTGGTCAGACTGATCTCCAAAATGACATGCTTAAAGTCTAAGTGGAGCTTTATATTGGACATTTAACGGTTTGTGATGTGGAAATGATTGACGAGTCTTCCCCCCCCCCCCCCGGACAGAAAAGCAGTTGGCACCTACCAACAGAGGTCTCCTTCACCTGTCCGGAGCTGAGAAAGTCCGCCCAAGTGCGAGCAGACGCACAGCTGCAGAGGGACAGTGCATCCAGGACAGAGCTACAAAGACCGAGGGTAGGGCGCGCGCACACAATCATACTATCATACTTTTCATTGATTTATGCGTTTCAGCCTCTGTAATAATTCATGTGCTGACTTTGTGTCTTGGCAAAGTTGTTTGGTTTGGTGACAGAGCGGGGATAACAACACTGGGTGGGGGAAATCTACATTTTGCATTCATCTCTATTTCGAGACAAATCCCCACAAGATAGATAGATAGATAGATAGATAGATAGATAGATAGATAGAGATAGATAGATAGATAGAGATATATGTATGTATGTATGTATGTATGTGTATATATATATATATATGTATAGATATATATATATGTATATGTATATATATATATGTATATATATATATATATATATATATATTTTTTCCCCCCCCTGCAGTGACTTCACACATTCCTCCCATTCAGACTATTTTTATTGTTTCCCCACCCTGCAGGTTTCCTACTGGTGTGTAATCTGGAAATAATCGGTATAATTTACACATTAAGGATGAAATCTAATGTCAGCTTTTAGCAAAATTTCTCGTTACTTTTGCTTCTACTCCTCCGCCTGCAGACACCGCACAATGGGAAGCACTGCGTCGCTTCACAAGTCCAAATTCTGTCATAAATATTCTGCATCAAGGCTCTGAAGGATGGGTCTTGGCTACATGTCCGCCATATGCATTGAAACAGAGTCAGACTAAGTTTGGCACCCAGAAAAAGATTATGTACCACAAATTAATTCAAGTGACTTTAGCCTCCAAGTTCAAGTATATACCTGAGTTATTCTGGTTCTATCTGTGAGTACCGCAGACGAAGCGACACATTCTAATAGGACATCAGGGCTCATTATAGAGACAGCCACGAGCAATTAATGTCCTACCTGTCAACATTTATCATTGTTAAGGAGTGCTCAATTTAAAAATGATAAATACTTTCCATCCTTTGGTGATTTAATTCTGTCAGCATGTTTGCAAAACTATTTTCTAGGGAACTGAGCTGTGGGCAAACATCTCGGTTAATCAGGGCTCTTTTTACTGCTGTGCATACGCACTTACGATAATTATACACATGCGGACACACACACTACTCAGAAGTTCTTGGCCTTGGTGGAGTGGAATTGTATTTCTGCTGTTTTCCAGTGCAGCCGTTTCTCGGGAACTGTAAGGGCTGTGAGGCTTCTGTGAATGTCCAGTGACGATGAAAGCTGTTACGGACAGAATAAACTCCCATCACTTGATAAGTGATTGGGGGGGGGATTGTTTCTGAAGGAGCAGTCATTATCACTGTTATTGTGATGGAAATTTGAAGCAGCATGCCATTACAGCGACGCCGCAAAAACCTAGATCTGTGCTTTTTCTCTTGATGATATTCCATCAGTGCATTTATTCTCATTGCCTGCTTGCAAAGAGATTTATAATTTTAAAAAAAGTGGGGGTCTGTGTTCTGCTCGTGATATCTGCATAGCGAGATTAATTATCCCCTTCATCAGTTTCTGTTTTTGTTATATGGAAACTACCTCTACTGCGTGCGAAGTTGAATCTCCAATACTGAATACACTTTTTTTTAAAAAGACACTTGTGGAATGGCATCCTGATGTGCTGCACGTTCTAAAATCCTATCCTGCAGCATGACAATCAGTTCTAATGGGTAAAATGAGCTTTTTAGCGAGCGAAGGTCAATTTCCTGTCGTGCTGGTGTGTTTGTGGTTGCTACATTTAAATTTGAGCAATAAACTGAAGTCTTCATTTCTTAAAATTCCATTACTGTGAAGAGGAGAGGAGAAAAAAAAAAAAAAACTCCAATGATGGAAAATTTTGTTAAAGGTTGCACATTTCTTTTCCTGTTTTCTTTTTTCCAGGCCACAAAGGAAGACTGCTTTAAAGACTGGCTGAGCTTAAGGATTAGGGAAAACTCTTATTTAAAATTTAAATATCATTCATAACATAATTACAGCAGGTGCTGCAAAACAATCTGGTTCGATTGGTCCTCTGTGTTCGAAGTGAGCCTGGGAAAACCATCGCCATGGAGCTGCAGCACAGCACCAATCACAACCAAGCCTCGTGGAAAGAGATACCGTGGAATTCGACCGAGGACTGCTTGCTGTCGGTGAGTGGAACCACGTTACTCATCATTGCTTACAGTACAGTCATGGCAGTGGGGCTCATTGGAAACTCGTGCCTGGTGTTTGTCATCGCACGGCACAAAGAGATGCACAACGTGACCAACATCTTCATTGTCAATCTGTCCTGCTCAGACATTCTCACGTGCATTATATGCCTGCCGGTCACTATTATCTACACACTGATGGACCACTGGATCTTAGGAGAGACCCTCTGCAAGCTCACACCTTTCATCCAGTGTATATCAGTCACTGTCTCCATCTTCTCCCTCGTTCTGATCGCCATGGAGCGCTACCAGCTTATCGTCCACCCAACAGGATGGAAACCCATGGTAGCCCACTCCTACCTGGCTGTGGCTGTTACCTGGATTGTGGCCTGCATAATCTCAGTGCCTTTGCTTTCCTACAACGTACTCATTTTGCCTTTTCAGAACTTCAGCACTCCACTCCCAATAAATGACAACTTTATTTGCATGGAGCAGTGGCCGTCAGTTAAGGAACGGCGAGCTTACTTCACCTCCCTGCTCGTCTTTCAGTACTTCCTCCCGCTTATCCTCATCATGGTCTGCTACCTGCACGTCTACCTTCGTCTGAGGAGGAGGAAGGACATGGTGGACCGCGGCAGGAACACCACTCAGAAAAAGAACAAGGGCTCCACGAGGATCAACGCCATGTTAGTCGCCATAGTCGTGGCCTTTGCCCTCTCCTGGCTCCCGCTCAATGTCTTCAACACGGTGTTTGACTGGCACCACGAGCTCATCCCATCTTGCAGCCATGACATCATCTTCTCGCTGTGCCACCTCACTGCCATGATCTCCACCTGCGTCAACCCAATCATCTACGGTTTCCTCAACAGCAATTTCCAGAAACAGCTCAAGTCCACGCTGCTGCGCTGCCGCTGCTGGGCCGTGGTGGAGAGGTACGAGAGCGTGCCGCTCTCCACCGTCAGCACAGAGGTCACCAAGGGGTCGATTTTGAGCAACGGCTCTGTCAGCAACAATACATAAATCCATACTTGGTGCAAAGGTTGGACAGGTTTACACGATATTTACAGTACGTATAGTCTTTTCCCCCACGTGCTGTTGCATATAAAAAAAGAGGAGATGCCTTTTTACTCTGTTACACCATGTTTTCTCTCTGCAATGATCTGCTTGGAAATCATGTTTAAATGCATATTAGCTGTCTGCCTTTAACACTTCCAAACCCAAGAGAGTGCTGGAAGGACAAAAAAGCAGGTGGGTTGTGGAGCAGCAAATGTTGTTTTGTTTTGTGTTTTTAATTTTTTATCTGGTGTTAATAGTGATGACGAAAACAGCGAGGGGTTGTGAACCGCAACGTGTAAATGATTATCAACAGAGTAGCTTAGAATACAACCAAAGGAGGGAACATTTGTGCATTAGATGTAGCTCTAGGCGGAGGACTTACCGGCATCATTTTAATGCATTTCTTATTACCTAAACCCGCCACCGTCGTCGCTTTAATGGTCTTTTGCAGAGAACCTTGGCAAAAGATGCATTTCATGCTGTTTGACACGTCCATACTCCTGTGTGTGTGTGTGTGTGTGTGTGTGTGTGTGTATACAGATGTGTAGGGGGTCATAAAATGTGCGACACGGCCACCATTTCTCAATCGCAATAAAACGAAATAGAAGTGGCAGTAAAGGACAAGAGCGGGCTCCTTCCGTTGTATATAAGATAAAGCACAGTTTTAGCGTGTGGTGTGCAATAAAACGCACTGTGTAGCATAGCACTATAGAAAGTATCTCTAGGAAATGTGTTGTTGTAATATTTGGTTCATGTTTAGCTCTTGTACTGACTTTTTTTTTTTAATTTAAACTCTTTTCTTTGTTTCTGCCTTGCTTTACATGCTGGTTTGAAGCTGTCATCTTGCAGGTCAAGTTACCCAGGAAAGTAAATGCTACCCTTTGACCAGAAGGCTGGTCAGTTAGCACTGGTTTGATATATATTTTTTGTGTTATATAGTGTACATGGGGGCGAACCCTCCAAACCCTTCAACTTCTAAATATTAAATATTTCAAACTCTTTGTTTCTTTCTGAGGTCAAATTCTGTGTGCTGCCTCTGTGTGCATTATTTAGAAGGGGGAAGTCTGAGATCACAACACATTTTAGATGCGCTCGTAGTGTTGAATAAATCAGTGTTGTGTTTGGTGCAATAGATGTTAAACAGCACGGGGAGGGGAGGAAAGTGTATGAGAGATCAATGGGAATTAGTGCTGAATATTCAAATTCGGGGAATGCCTGCTAACGCTCATGCTTCGTCCTGTCTGAAAGGGAGATCAAAGACCAACTATGCGAGATTTTTTTTTTTTTTTAAATATTTATTTTATTTTTGCTGCCAGGTGCCTTGTAGCTTTTATATTTCAGAAGGTCGAGTGTAAGATGTTTTTCTACTTTACAAAGACCCAAACCTGTTCACCTGCCATGCGGTTTTCCAAAAGGCAGCTTAGCCCTGAAGAGATCTCTCAGGTCCTTGTCAGCATAATTGACTGCATGCTTCTGCTGGCCTGTGCTGCCCTTTGCTGACTTCCAATCCCCTCTCCTTTCCCGTATTTCATTCCTCTAGTCTGTTTCCTTTTAGAACACCAGCCGAGTGAAGCAGAAGCGTTCATTCCCCCCCTTTGCAATAAAGGACCCAAGATGCCAGAGGTAGTTGCAAACTCCAGTGGCACTTGACAACGAGTGGAACCTAAATTACCCCCCCCCCCCCTTTTTTTTTTTTTTTTTTAAAATTACATTGTTACCCATTGTAACCCAGTCTACAAGCACATTACTGCACTATGAAATGAAGCTCAGCTGGAGACAAATACTTAATGAGTCCACAGGGCCAGTCTCTCCTTGTCAGTCGAGCTGTTCCAGGAAGACTGGGATCTTGGCTCTGTGCATTTTAATTTAGAGAGATTCTCTTTTTTTATTTTTATTTTTTATTTTTTTAAGGGAAAAAAAATCTCTCCAGATCACAGGAACAACGTGAACTAGTTGGCCAGAGATTTGCTCAAGCTGTTGTTTTGAGCATTTCAATTCTCCTCAGTCATATTCTTGCTTTCCTTTCAACAGTGAGAATGATGTATAATTCATCTTGCTTTACCTTGTGTCAATATTCATAGCAAGAGGATCAATATTACAGTGGAAACCTTAGGGGTTTGTGCTGCCTGTGCCAAAGGATTTGTGAAGAATTACAATATAGATGTGCTACAGAATGATTTTTCAGCTTGTACTCTTTGCTGCAATCTCATGAGGCAAAGTCAATGGCACCTCTGATCCCGGCTGAGAAAGAACTAATCTTTAGACTTTGGCAGATGAAAAGGTCAAAGGAAGACCAGCTGCTGATTTTCAAATCCCAGTCCGGGTGTTATGCAAATACCGACATCCGTTAGACATGTAGGTTGCTCATTTACAGGTCAAACACATAGATCGGCTAGGTCAATATTTTCTTGTTCCCTTATCATTCTGCTGAATTGCCCTAATGGTCCTCCTACCTTGTGTTCATCAGATCTTGCAGGGAAGCTTTATCTCTGGTGACGGTGTTCAGTTTCATCTGCTGATTAGCACAAACACCATGACAGCGAGAATACATGACCACCTCCAGATTACAATTCTGCGTGTCTCCAATATTCAAATACATCTGGAAATGTTTTTTCTTTGTAGACTGCAAGATATTTCTTGCCTTCATTTACTTATGTGTCTTCTGTACTATTCAAAATAAAACACACCGTTGCTTCTTGCATAATGCAAGCAGACTTGACAGCTTGGAATAGCAACTCCCTGATTGGTGTTGGCCAGGTTGTACTCACGATTTTCTGTTGCGTGCATGAATAGATAGATAGGGTCTTGGCCTCTGCGTCCGGCCTTCCATTTTCTTTGATTGAGAAAAAGACCACAGCCTCTTTTAGTTGCCTGGTTACAGCTTCCTCAGGGTATTCAATGGGTCTCCTTCAAGCTGACACGGAGCACCAAGCTATTAAAGTCACTTTATTAAACACTGACAGAGGAGCTGCACAAGGCGGAAGCAGTTCAGTGGACCCATGTCAGCCAAACAGTCCTACGTAAGACATGATTGCTGAGGATGCTTGATGACGCACAGCAACTTTCCTTTTGACTTGCACTGGCTTGTGATAGTTACATCACAGCAAGCAGTATTTTTTTTTCTTAAAAGAGCATTTCCGGAAGTTGTAGCAGGGAAAGCACAGGCGTGTGTAGCTATATTCATATTGGCAGTATGTCATTTGCCTGTGTCAAGGCCAGTTAATATTGCATGGTTTATTGCAAGGACACCAGGAGGAAAGGCTTTATTAAAGGAACAGTTTCATATTTTGGCAAAGACACAAGAGTCAGATTGGAAATTTCATTGCAATTCTCACGCCTGAAAAGCAAATATGAGATGGAGCCAGGAGCCGAAGACACTTTAAAATCTGATCCAGATCACCAGAGACAAAATCTTTTTGTTTCTGCTTCACAGTCAGATCACATATTAGCCATGGGTTTGGTTTTGTTTCTGCTATTTTAAATCCCTTTATTATTATTATTATTATTTTTCCAAGAATGGATGATATTGAAGAGTTAATGTGCGTTCACAGACCATTCAGCTGGGGGAACAGTGCACCCTGGAGTAGCGCACTCCTAGCAGACAATATATAAGACCACCTGCAGAAGCTGTTTATAGCTTAAAGACTAGAACATTTAGGTCCTGTTCAAGATTGCCTGAAGTATAAAAATTACCTTTGCACAGAGTCAAGTCTTTTCCAGCCTTTATATAAAAATATAGCAGATAAAACAGAGTTAGTTTCTTTTCTCTTTTCAACATTTAAAAAAAAAAAAGAAAGCTTACTTCACTGTAATTTCTTCGCAATACACTTTCTCTTTAGTTTCACACATAAAATTGGTCTCCAGATTCAAAGCCTACAGAGTCTGCCAGCTCCGTGACTTTAAAGCCCCTGTTCTCTCTTATTAGTTCGTCTATTCTCAGACTGGTCTCAGTGAGACTAATTACAAGTAACCTGGTGGACCTCACAGCTGGTGGGGGGTCCATGCTCAGCAGCAAGGAGCTCATTTCCTTGTACAGTATGATTTAAAATCTGCTGCTGATGTTCCTCTTGAGGGAAGCAACAAGAATAATAATAATAACAGAAGTTTCTTATAGTCTGTAATGTTTGACATTTCAAATGGAGGGTGGTTACTGTACACGAGGGCATTGATCTCTGGTCGATATTTCATGTCCTGCTGCGCTGTTGCGTTTCATAGATGATTTAGCCCTTATCAAAGCTCTTTAAATAAAGGACAATACTTGACCCGTGTGGTGTGGACTGTATGCTCAACCAAAGTAGCTGCAATCTCATCAGTAACTACGGAGACGATTTTCTGTCGTGTGTGTGTGTGTGTGTGTGTGTGCCCCAGTAACACCAGAGTGACAGACAGATTGAACTACTGTGAGAAAAAACAAAAAACACTTTCCATTGAAGATAAGAGTGCGGCAGCCCCACTTGCTCTTCAGCAGGATATTACAGGCTGCTGTAGGGATGTCAAATCGTCGTGATGAATAAACTTCGATTTCTTGTGCAGTTTGTTTAAAATTCGAAGCACACATTGGCCCGGCTGAATAATTGTGCTTATCAAACCATAAATAAGCACTTTTATAATCCAGAGGAGATTGCGGAGTGCACATGAAATGGACCGAGAGCAATGAGCTGTTGCGATACAGTAAATTGGCTCCGGGCACATGTCCTGTTGGAAAGCAAACACAGTAATGTACAGTAAATGTCATTAAATGGTGCTCTTGACGGGATCCGGTGCAGTAGGGAGGGGGCGGCAGTGGCGGTCCTAGCCTGTTTGGC